AAACATGTGCCATTTGTCTCTCTGAGCTTGGCTTATCTCACTTAACATGATTTGTCCTAAGTCCATCCATTTTCCTGCAAATGACATAATATCATTCTTTCTAATGACTGTGTAAAACTCTATTGTGTAAGGATACCACATTTAGTTCACTGGATTTTTGTGTGTATATGTGTGCTAGTACTGGGACTTGATCTCCAGGCCTGGGTGCTATTCCTGAGATTTTTTTGCTCAAAGCTAGCACTCTATACTTGAGCCACAGTTCCACTTCTGGTTTTTTGCCTGTTTACTCGCAAAGAAGATCTCATAGACTTTCTAGCCTCTGCTGGCTTCCAACTGAAATCCTCAGATCTCGGTCTCCTGAGTAGCCAGGGTTACAGCATGAAGCACCAGCACCCTGCTAATCTCAGTGGAGTTTTAGGAATGGTGAGCAGTGAGATGTGGGAGCTTTGTAGTCAGGATGAGTAAAACTACCCAAAGGCTGTTCTCCCAAAGACTCTACCATTGACTCAGAACAAGGTCCCCAAATCTCTGCCACCGTTGCTTCTAGAATCATGGTGTTTTGTCTACCTCCCACCTTTGGAGCAGTGAGATTATGTGTTAGGCCTGCATTCTCATGGGATACCTTCCGTGGACAGGGTACACGTCAATCTCCTGCTTCTTAGTTGCAAAGGAGTCTGGGAAAATCTAATTCTTGCTACTACTTGGCAGAGGCAGGGCTTAGAGACGTTACTTAAAATTGCTGAGCTTTCACAAGACAAAATAAATATCCAATATAGTATTTGAGTGGTGTGTGTGTGTGTGTGTGTGTGTGTGTGTGTGTATGCGTATGCATGTGCACGTGCGCACATGCCCCATCCTGGTGTTTGAACTCAGGTCCTGGGTACTATCTCTGGACTTTTTTGCTGAAGGCTAGAGCTTTACCACTTGAGCCACAGCTCTACTTCTGACATTTTACTGATTAGTTGGAGATAAGAGTCTTCATGTACTTTTCTTCCAGGGTTGGCTTTAAAGCACAATCTTCAGATCTCAGCTCTTAAGTAGCTAGGATTACAGGCATGAGCCACCAGTGCCAAGCCTTAAGATGAAGTGTTTAGAAATCCCTGCTTGAGGCAATCTTTCACTGACTGCAGTTAAATACCCCTGTCACCATGTTGCCACATCACCGAGACCCTGAGCTCTGGGCTTTGCCTGTATTATCTCATTCATTCCATGATCCTCTGAAGCAGAGTTTTACAGTGTATCTCACCTTTCCCTGCCTTCATTTCATCATCTTAACCCAGGATTGTGGCTGTAAGCCCACACCATGAGGTTTTGCCAGTACCCAATGTCTGGGCAGACAGCAGTGTGGTGGTAAGGTAGGCAGTCAATAATGGATGGCATCATTGACACCAACCTGCCACAATCATCTCGCACTAGTCACACTCAATTTTGTGAGTTGTCAGAGGCTACACAGTCAACAGAACTGGGTTCCATTTCTATTTTTGTTTGTTTGTTTGTTTGGGGATTTTTTTGGTCAGTCATGAACTCTGGGCCTGAGCACTGTCCCTCAGCTCCAGCTCAAGGCTAGCGCTTTACCACTTGAGCCACAGTGCCACTTCTGGCTTTTTCTGCTTATGTGGTACTGAGCAACTGACCCCAGGGCCTCATGAATGCAAGTCAAGCTCTCTGCCACTGAGCCACCTTCCCACCCTTGGGTCCCATTTCTTGTTGTTGGTCTTACTGGCTGCATGACCTTGGACAATTTCTGGCACTACCTGAGTCTCCCTTAATAAGAGAAGAATCCTTTGTTCTCCCCTCTGGTGTCTGCTTGTTACGCATGGGAAAGATTCCGTGTCACTGATCTGTCTGCTCTTGCACAGCCTGTCGTGATGGTTATGGCTGAGTCATTCAGCTTTGTCCCCGGAGACCCAGGACACCAGCCCTTACCATGCCAGCTGAGTGAGATGCAGGCCCACCCAGCCTGGTGAAGTGCCTGCCCTTGGGGCTGGGGCTGAGTCTAAGAACTCACCTCTTCCACCCATGCTGCATTCATCACCAAGCTAGAAGACAGCTTAGATCTTAGAGGCCCAGGGAAAAAAGAGCCAGGGCTGCTGCTGGGAAGGCATGCTTCACTGTTTCTGAGTAGAGACAGGAACTGGCTGCTGGCCCAGTGTGTGCCCTGTAAGCCACTGTGTTCCAGTGGGAGAAACTCCCTGAACCTTTCATTCTGCATTGGGGAAGGCAGAGTGTTGGACTGGGCTGACTCCTCTGGATGGGCTGGACATAATCAAGGAATTATGATATAATCACCACATCAGGGAAGGGCATCCCATCATGATAGAAGGTAAATAGCTTGCCTTGTGGTCAGGAACCAAAGAGAAGAAAGACAAAAAGGCTGGAGGTCCCACAAGCCCCTTCAAAGATGCCCCCGCAATGGCCTAAAGATCTTTCACTAGGCCCCACCTTCTAAAGTCCCCTCCACCCAGCCACCCAATAGCACTACCCTGAGGACCAAGCTTTTAACATTCGGGACTTTGGGGGACATTTATCAGTCCTAAGAAAAAAGAGAACCCTGCCATTTACTACAGCAAGGAGGAGACGAGTACAGAATGTCGAGTGATAGATCAAACAGAGAAAGACCAATATTGGACATCCTCACTTCTATGTGAAAATTCTGACAGTATAAATGAAACCTTGCCAAACTCATAGAAGCAGAGTGGGATGGTGGCATCCTGGGGCTGGTGGTGGAGGGAAGGGAGGCGTGGGGGCTGCATACTCTTGGTATGATGCAGGTATTAACATGAGTTATAGTGACCATGTCCCAGTGTGCATCAACATCAAATCAGGTTGTGCTCCTTCAACCCATAAGTTTCTATTGGTCAGTCATACCTCAATAAAGCCTGAAACGTGGTAGACTGCCAGCCAGAATGATTTAAATGTCCTTATGCAATTAAATTGGTGCTAACAAAAAACTAACAAAAGCCGGGCACTGGTGGTTCACACCTGTAATCCTAGCTACTCAGGAGGCTGAGATCTGAGAATCATGGTTCAAAGCCAGCCTGGGCAGGAAAGTCTGTGAGACTCTTATCTTCAATAAAAACCACTCCGAAAACCAGAAGTGGTGCTGTGGTTCAAGTGATAGTGCGCTAGCCTGGAGCTGAAGAGCTGAGGGACAGTGCCCAGGCCCAGAGTTCAATCCCCACAACCAAAAATAAGACAAAACAAAACAAAAATCTAATAAATATAAAGAAACAAAAACCTATAGAAATAAAAATAAATAAATGGATATCACAAACTAATGTCTGTACACTCCACGTTCAGAAAAAGGTCAGGATTCATCATCTTTTCCTGCTTGCTGTCTGTATCCTGTATCTGCCCCTCTGTGGCTCTCTTCCAACTCCTGAGTCACTGGGATTACAGGCATGTGTTACCCGGCCTAGCTGAGAACAACTCCTTTATATTCCACAACTGAGATCCTATGGTCTATGTCTCTCTGTGACTGGCTTATTTCACTTAGCTAAATGCCTTCTGGATTCATCGGTGCTGTTGCAATTGACAGAATTTCCTAACGAAATCACAGCCTGTCACTCAGTATGAGACATGTCCACACCATGTGCCCTGTGTAAGCAACTCACCAAGTCTTCTCAGGGAGGCAGTGTGGCAGGCCTCTATCTGGGCCAGCTACGCAACAGGTAGAACAACTTGGGCAGGGTAAGGGGGAAGACAACAGGGACAAGTTAGAAAAAGGGAACCACTGCCACTATTGACAACAGAGACAACTGACCACAGGGAGTTGGTGACCCAGGTGATAGAAGATTGAAGCCCCTGGGCCCCAGCAGGCAGTTAGTGTGTTTCAGGGCTGGAGAGGCAAAGGAAAAGTGCTCTACCACTGGAGTCAAACCCCCAGCTTAGGGTATTTTGATATGCTTATATATGCATACAATGTACCTTGATCAGACTTATCCCCTCCTTTACTCTCTCTCCTCTCTCCGCTACCCTTCACAAACCAATCATAAACAAGCTTCACTGTCCCATTTTCACACATGTACATAAAGTATTTTGACCTCCTTCCCCCTCTGTTCACCCTGACCTGCTTCTCACTATTCTACAAAAATTCGCTGAGGTGTATTCTCTGCTGAGTCCTACAACCAGACAAGCCAGCTACAGTGGCTCACACCTGCAATCCCAGCTACTCAGGAGGTAGAGATTCAGAGGACTGGTTCAAAGTCAGCCCAGGCAAAAAGTTTGAGAGATCCTCCTCCTAACCAGTAGCTGAATATGGTGGTGCCCACTATCACCCCAGCTGTGGTAGAAGTATAAGAAGGAGGATTGCAATCCTCCTATTTAGGATTGCTGGCCTACTCAAAAAGGGAGATCCTATCTTAAAAATAACAACAGCACAACAAGGAGTTGTACTGCTTAAGCACAGCCTAGGACTTGAGTCCCAGCTTGAATGGAGGGTGTGAGCCTGTGGGTGACAGCTGACACCCAGAGGTAAATAAAGCTCCTCCCAGGTGCTGGTGGTGGTGCCAGCAGGTGAAACCCAGGTGAAGAAGAGGGTGGGGGACATGGGTACATATTGAGTGACTGCCAGGCTCACATGTTCATTGGGAGAAACATGGAGCAGAGCCTTTGATCTGTGGTAGAGGGCGGCGAATCCTCCGGGAGACCCCACCTCAGGCTCCCTTTGGAGTTTGACTATTTCTGTGCTTGCATGCCTGCTCCTGGTCTGTAGCGTGATTTGGGCATCTCTGGGCCCTGGGAGGGGGCAGGAGGATTTCAGGGTACCCTGGGCTCTGACTGTGGGGGACGCTCACTCACAACAAGAACCCCACTGTTGCAGGGGCACACCGTGGGAGGTGTGCTCTGCAGGAGGGTGGGCTGTGTGGGGACAGATGGGGAGGACCGTCCTTGCCCCTGAGGTTAGAGCTGGGATCTGCTCTGTCCACAGGGACTTACCTGAGGTCTAAGAACCCCTTCGATACAGCTTTCTAGGGGTGCATCTGAGGACACAAGGCATCATGGCTGCGTGGTGAGGCTGAGTGGGGAAGGGGCTGCAGAGGAGGAAGGTGGGGAGGAGGAGGAGAAAAGAGAGGAGGAGGAAGAGGAAGAGAGGAGGCTGAGTCTTCAAATAATCTCTTTCCAGGGTGCCTGAACTGTCCCTGGCAGGGGCCTCAACTAGATCCTCGGACTTCCCCCTTGGGGGCCCAGAAAAGATTCTGAAGCTACCCACAAGCCCATGGCCATTGGAGCACATCACCGTGCAGCCTGGGGGATCTGTCCAGCAGGTGGTCCTGAAGAAGATCCAGGAGCTCTCTGGCACAGTACGAAGGAAGCAGGCAGCCATGGGAGGGGAGGTGCAGGGCTCAGTTCCTCCTTTGGTGGCTTCCTGTTTCATGGCTTAGATAAGACTTCCACCGTGGTGGAAGTCCCTATTTAAGTTTTGTTCCCTCCAGTCCCCAGGCCTAGCACTTGGGATTTACCCATTGAGATGACTTCGGGTACAAATTCCATTACCTTCTTGTGCAACTTTAAGCTTCTATTTTCAGCTGTGCTGGAGATTGGACTCAGAGCCTTGAGCTTGCTAGTCAAATGTTCTTCCACTTGAACCACATCCCTAATCCTTTTGCTTTTAGGTTTGTTTTTTTTTTCCAGCCCCAGCTGGTTTTGGGTCTTGATATCCCTACCTCTACCCTCTGAATAGCTGGGATTATAGGTATATGTTTCCATGCCTGTGCCTTTAAGAGTTAAAGGACTCTAGCTATCTCTTTGCCAAGACTGAGAGACAGTGATTCACCTAGCTGAGCTGTTGGCTTTCGCATCCCTACAATGGGAGAAACAAGGGCCTTGAGAAGATTTAATGAGATGTCCCTGTCCCAGCAGGACAACCAAGACCCCTTCATGGTGGCCCACCTGGACATGCTGGTCAGCCGCCACGAGACCTTCTGCCGGGCGCTGCCCCAAGTCCAGCCCTTCTATGCTGTGAAATGCAATAGCAGCCCCTGGGTGTTGCGAGTCCTGGCCACCCTGGGCGCAGGCTTCGACTGTGCCAGCCAGGTAACCAGCGGCTACTCACTCCCCCACAAGCCTGTGGCTTCCTGGGGGGGGGCAAAGACCAACGGTGAGGGGGCCTGCACTAGGAACTACAGCACCCAAAGCAGATGTGGGAAGGTAGATATTTCTCTCTTTTTTTTTCCTGCTTAGAAAATTTATTGAACATTATTCTTGCATCACACTTAAGAAAAACTTCAATGTTCCCTGAAGGCACCCTTCATTTCATATGATTGGTATTTTTTGTAGTAAAAATACAATTAAATATGAAATTAGTAAAAGGCAGAATATAAAACTTCATGCTGAGCAAAAACAAGTCCAAAAAAAGTCACCATATATCCACAGAATATTTCCTATGGTACATGTTTTCTATGTAAATCATATCTTAATGCAATTTTTAGAACCATATTTAAATAGCTTTGCAATTTGTTAATTGTAGGTATCCTATTTTTTTCTTCCACCACGTAATATACTGCTTATATTAACATTGGCTATACCTGCTATGATCCACACAATGTAACCAAAAGCTTTTCTTTTCTAAAGAACTGCAGTTATTTCTCAAGGTTTGAGAAATCTGGTCCACCTTTTGTGTAGTTTCCTGAGATTTCAGCTCCACTGAAGTCAAAGCCAGGATTTTCTTTTTGGAACCTCTCTAATGTGAGCTTTCTCTGCATTTGGTCTTGTACCCAAGGATCAGCGGCATATTCAGATTCTAGAAGGGAAGTCCAACAGTTGGCTGCGTCTCTCTTTGTCTTTGTAAGAACAATGCGGACCATTTTTCTATCCTCCAAAGTCCATGTTCCTTCATCAGCTATAGTGGAATCAAAGAGCTTGCCCTGACGCCGAGCCCGGAGTTCGTTTTTCGGTTTCCATGTCCATTTAGGACACGGACAGGATCCGGTGTTGAAGCAACTGGGACCCAGAAAAGTTGACAGCCAAAGCACGGCGGCACCAGGCTGGAACGCCTCACGGATCACGATGCCCACAGGGTGCCCGGCCCACACGGCTGATCCGATATTTCTCTTTTTTTTTTTCTCCTTTTTCTTTTGGTTGAACTCTGGGCCTAGGTGCTGTCCTTCAGCTCTTCGACTCAAGGCTAGGGCTCTACCACTTGAGCCACAACGCCACTTCCAGTTTTCTGGTGGCTAATTGGATATAAGAGTCTCACAGACTTTCCTGCCCAGGCTGGCTTTAAACTGTGATCCTCAGATCTCAGCCTCCCTAATAGCTATGATTATAGGTGTGAGCCACTGATGCCCGGGAATGGACATTTCTTTTTGTTGTTGTTATTTGTTTGCCAGTACCAGGGATCAGGGTTTTTTGTTTGCCCAGCTTGTTTGCTGGGCTGGTTCTCTACCATTGTAGGCCTTCCTCTAGCCCTGCTTTTTGCTGTTTAATTGAAAATAGAGTCTTGAAGACTCTGTTTGAAGCCCAGGCTGGTTTCAAATGTGATCCTCTAGACCTCAGACTCCTAAGTAGCTAGGATTGATTACAGGCATGAGCTGCTGGTGCCTAGTTAGTGTTGTTTTTTGTGGGTTTTTTCCTAATTATTATCTTTAGCTGGGTACTGGTGGCTCTTGTCTGTAATTTTTTGTTGTTGTTGGTTGTGGGGCCTAAACTCTGGGCCTGAGCACTGTCTTTGAGCTCTTCAGCTCAAGGCTAGCGCTCTACCACTTGAGCCACAGCGCCACTTCCATTTCTTTGGGTGGTTCAGATAAGAGTTTCACAGACTTTCCTGCCCAGGCTGACTTCAAACTATCATCCTCAGATCTCGGCCTCCTGAGTAGCTAGGATTACAGATGTAAGTCACCAGTGCCTGGCTACAAATGAATTTTTGAAGGAACAAATGAATGAGTAACTTTGGTTATTCATTGCAATGGGCTGTGTGACCGGTACTGACACCTAAGCTAGGGAACAGAGCGCACATGCTTCTCGCCTTGAGCACGGGTCGATGTACGCAGGCGTTGGTATAGCCACTTCACCTTCCTGAGCCTCAGTTTCTTTCTCTTTAAAATGAGGCTGAGCCGGGTGCTGGTGGCTCAGACCTGTAATCCTAGCTACTCAGGAGGCTGAATCTGAGGATCACAGTTCAAAGCCAGTTGGGGCAGAAAAGTCTGTGAGACTCTTATCTCCAATAAACCACTCAGATAAAGCCAGAAGTGGCACTGTGGCTCAAGTGGTAGAGTGCTAGCCTTGAGCACAAAGAAGCTCAGGGACAGTGCCCAAGCCCTGAGTTCAAGCCCCAGGACTGGCAAAAAGGCTGACTCTGATTTCCTGGTAGAGAACAGGGGGCTTGGTCAAGGGCAGTCTCATTGATATAGGTCATTGCTCCTGTCCCCGAAGAACGGAGGCAGAGCATTGGCAGACCCCCAACGCTAATGCTCACCCCTGGCAGTGGGAGCTGGAGCAGGTGTTGGGCCTGGGTGTGGCCCCCTCTCGCATCATCTTCGCCAACCCCTACAAGGCCGCTTCCCATATCCGGTATGCTGCCCGCCATGGGGTGCAGCTCCTGACCTTTGACTGCGAGGAGGAGCTGACCAAGGTGGCTCAGCACCACCTAGGGGCCAGGTGAGAGGGGCAGGGGTGGGTGGAGACAGCCACAGGGTAGAAGGCAGTCCCCAGGCAGCCCCAGGGCAAGGGCAGGCAAATGAGCAAGCACCAGAGTTTGGGTCATTGGGTCCAGCACCTTCCCTGGTGTTTGTCTCTGCCAAATAAACACTGGGGTCTGTGCACAGACGCAGACAGAGCCTGACATGACACCTGGCATTTGCCATGTCATGAGAAAAGTACTCACACTGGAGTCACAGCAGGGCTCCCATTTCAGATTCATCCATCACCCACTGGGTGGCTGTGGGAAAGAAGCTTAATGTCTCTGATTCTGTAGCACAAGAGCCTGAAGAAGGTCTATTTATAGTTTTAGCCTTTTCCTACTTGCTGTGCCCTGTGTCTAGTTTGTGGGTTTGCTCCTGGGGGCTTCGTGGTTGGTAGTGCAGATGGCCCCGGCTGGGGCTGGTGGGGAGGTGGGTGGGGCTCCCGGTCCTGTGCACCCCTGCCCCCCGCTGTGCCCCTCCTGCAGGCTGCTTCTCCGGATCCAGACTCAGCACAGCCAGAGCACCTTCCCCCTCAGTGGCAAGTTTGGGGCCAGCCTGGAGGAATGTGGACACCTGCTCACATCTGCCAGAGGGCTTGGGCTGGCTGTGGTTGGAGCCACGTAAGTCCTGCATGGAGCACACTTGTCCTGCATGGGGGCAAGAGTTCTACTTCCACGGCCCACCCCGAGCCCTTGACTAGTGTATGCCCTGGCCAGCCAGGGATGCCTGGCCTCATAGATGCTCCTTACTCCAGGTGATCTCTCTCTCTCTCTCTCTCTCACACACACACACACACACACGGTTCCCCTTTAGTGTCTTGGTGCCCCTTGAACCCAAGGAGGAGGACAGCTTGCTTGCCTGGCCTCAGTCTGTTGGCCTTGGTGATTCACCCAGCCTCTGGGAGCACTGGATGGGAGTGTTGGTGCCATGCCCTCCGAGGAGCAGAAGGGGGGTCTTCTTCCTGGTGCTGACAGCGACCCAGGCATGAGCCCCTACTCCATGGTCATGTGGGGAGGGGTGTCTAGCTGAGGTCCTGGATTTGTAGTGCGTTGAGCTGCCTGACCTGCGCTGTTCTATACCGCCCGAGTGGGTGTTTCTAACCACAGTTCCACCCGTGTGTCTCCCATGCCCCTGGTCACGGCCTGCTCAGCTTTCATGTGGGCTCCGACTGTCACACACCCCAGAGCTTCGCCCAGGCCATTGCGGACTGCCGGCTGGTGTTTGAGATGGGCCGTGAAGCTGGCCATGACATGAACCTCTTGGATCTGGGAGGGGGATTTCCTGGAGCAGAGGGCTCCGAAGCCAGGTTTGAGGAGGTAAGAGGGACTGCCCAAAGTGGACAGTGGGTAGAAGCCTGTGTGCAAGAGCATGTGTGTGTGAGTGTGTGTGTGTGAGGGGAAGGCTTGTGAAATCTTGACTTGTATGCAGGCACTGGGGCTCATCTTTGGTCAGAGATCTTGTCTCAGAGAAAAGAAATGCTAAGGACTGGACTCAAAGCTTTACACTTGCTACACAGGTGCTTTGCTACTGGAGCCATGCCCCCAGCAACTTGTTTTTGCTGATACTGGGGTTCGGACTCAAGGCCTCATACTTGCTTTGCTTGCTTGGCTGGCCCTCTACCACTTGAAGCATGTCTCTGGACTGACTTTTTTTCTGATTATTTGGGAGATCGAATCTTGGAGATTTTCCTAGGGTGGCTTCTCACCTTTAACCTTTGGATTTCAGCCTTCAGGGTAGCTAGGATCTTAGATGTGAGCCATTGGCACTCAATTTCCATAGCTCTGCGCACACGCACACATTTACATAATACATATACGTATATGTATGCATGTATGTGTATATTTATCTTTTTAAACTTTATTATTATCTTTAAGTAGTTGTACAAAGAAGTTCCCATTCTACAAAACAGCATACAAGGTATCTGACAACATTGTCACTCATCCCTCTTAACCCATCCCTTCTACTTTTTTTAAAGTTGAAATAGGTAATTACATAAATTTCACATATTTCACAGTATTGTGGAATAGTGATACATAGTTAAAGTCACAAACACATTTTAACTTTCACAAGGCAAATTATGATTATCATGGTCTATAAAGTCTGTGAATTCTAGAGCTTTGACAATACAAATTATTTCTTCCACATCAGGTGATGATTACATTTCTTTCCTTTTGCTTAGTGTGGGCTGTTCCCTCTTTCCCTCTCATTCCTCATTTCCTATCACTGTTTTTGGGTTGCTTAGTTCTTTTTCTTCTATGTCCAGTGCAGCTGATGGCCCCTTTGTTGTGTGTTGTTCTATTTCCCACTTATTCTGTTCCTCCTCCTGGCTTCCCTCTGTTGCGTGCATATATCTACCATATATACACATATGTGTGTGTGTGTGTATATATATATATATATATATATATATGGTCAAGAACTATTTATCTCTCTCTATATGTACATCTATATGTATACACACACAATATAGTTTTGGTGGTACTTAAGCCCTATGAACTTGTTAGGCAAGCACTCTACCACTTGAGCTACACCCCAACCCCTCTAGCAACTTCTTGCATTGAATATTTTTTTGGGGGGGTCCGGTTGTGGGGCCTGAACTCTGGGCCTGGGCGCTGTCCCTCAGCTCTTCAGCTCAAGGCTAGCGCTCTACCACTTGAGCCACAGTGCCACTTCCGGCTTTTTTCTTTTTGCTTATGTGGTGCTGAGGAATCGAACCCAGGGCCTTGAGCATGCAAGGCAAGCGCTCTACCACTGAGCCACCTTCCCAGCCCTGCATTGAATATTTTTGAGATGGGGCCTTAAAAAAAATTCCAAGGTGCTGGTGGCTTATGCCTGTAATCCTAGCTACCCAGGAAGCTGAGATCTGAGGATCACAGTTCAAAGCCAGCCTGGGCAGGAAAAGCTGTGAAACTCTTATCTCCAATAAACCAGAACACTGTAAGTGGCGCTGTGGCTCAAGTGGTAGAGTGCTCACTCACCTTGAGCTGAAGAACTCAGGGACAGCGCCCAGGCCCAGAGTTCAAGCTCCATGACCGAAATAAAATAAAATAAAATAAAAATTCCAGGCCCGCCTGGCCTGCCGTCCTCTGACCTCTACTCCGCTGGGGATGGCAGGCAGGTCCACTGCACTTCCTTTGTAGCCAGGGTAACAGGTGCACAAAGCCATTGGTTGAGATGGGGTCTTTCAGACTCCTCTTTTGGCCTGGGCTGACCTAGACCCTCCAGCCCACGATCTCTGCCTGCCAAAGAGCTAGGATTACAGGCTTGAGCTGTTGAGCCCGGCCTGATGAGCACTCTTTTGTCTTACAGTGCAAAAGTAGGTGTGTGTGTGTGTCTGAGCATGCATCTGCAGAGGCCCCACGGCCTTTAGGTGTGTTGGCTGCTAGCCTTGGTTCTTCAGGCAGAAGTTTACAGTCCTCCAGATCCAGGGAGCGTTCCCTCATTGCTGAGCCTGTGTTGGTTGAAATAATTGCACCTTCACGCTGCTCAGAGGGGCAGAGGGGTGTTTGCATCTGTCGCCTCCTCATCGAGGGGCCTGAGCATACGTTCTAAAGTGCCAAGCTCAATGCACAGGGACGGACATTGTCATGGAGGCTGGATCTGTCCCCACAGATGGCAAGAGTGATCAGAGCTGCCCTGGCCCAGACCTTCCCAAAGGAGACTGGCGTGAAAGTCATGGCAGAGCCCGGCCGCTTCTACGCGGAGCCCATCTGCACCACGGCCGTGAACATCATCGCTAAGAAGGCCGTGCGCATGCCCGGTAGGTGCAGATGCCTGGTAGGTAGCCCCCTGGGGGCGGGAGGGAGGGGAGAGCTGGCAACATTGCGGTGTCCCCAGGCCTGGCAGAGAGGATGTGCACAGGATTTGGGCACTATCCCTGCATATCTAATAGAGGAAACAAGATTAGAATTGGGTAGTAAAATAAGCCTGCCAGTGTCACTGTTTCTTAAGAGAAGGTCTTACTATATAGCCCAGGCTGACCTTGAACTCAAGATCCTCCTCCAAGCTGCTGGCCTATAGGTAGGTACAACCACACCCAGCTCAGCATCACTGGTTTATGTTCTCTAGTAGACAGGGAGGGGAAGTCCAGAAACCCAGGTATTCACTTCCTGAGCAGTTAGTGAGTCTGTATCATATAGAGAAACGTGTCACCTGCAGAATATAGTTCACAAAGCCTGTTCCTGCTGGCTCACGCCTGTAATCCTAGCTACTGAAGAGGCTGAGATCTGAGGATCATAGGTTGAAGCCAGCTCGAGCCACAGGATCCATGACATTCTTATCTCCAATTACACACCCAAAACCACAAGTGGAGCTGTGGCTCATGTGGTAGAGTGCTAGCCTTGAGCACAAACAGTCAGAGACATCTCCCAGGCTCTGAGTTCGAGCCCCAGGACTGGCATGTACATGCACATCCATGCATGTGTGCACATACACACACACACATACACGAAAATACAATTACTACAGGCATCCCATGGAGAAAGGACACAGAAATGAGCAATCCATTACACAGAGGCCATTGGTTCTGTTCTGCATCACACAGCAGGTGCTCAGAACACTGGTCCAAGAAGAAAGATGAAGATTCGGGAAGGATCCTAGCTCAGATTCTCTTGTGGACTTCTGCAAGACTCAGTTTCCCCAACTATAAAGTGGGGAGTGTGTCGTTAAGCGGATTTATTTAATGCTCTTAGAATAATGGTGGGGTTTCAGCACCTATGAGCTATGCCGGAACACAGAGGGCAGAGCAGTGGGGGGTCTCTCACGAGAGCCAGTGGCTGAACTTAGAGAGCCCAGGCCTGAGAGTGGAGGCCTGGTACAGGCTCTGAGTCAAGCATGGGAGGGAGGAGAGGGAGGAATCTGGGCAGGAACTCCTGGGGCGGAGGCCTTGTTCAGGAGGTGAGGGAGGGCAAGGGATGGCCCAAGCCCCGCCCACTCCAGCCCATTCCCCAGGAGGCCTCCGGAAGCTGATCTACTACCTCAATGATGGCCACTATGGCGTCTTCCGAATCTTCCTCCGGGAGGCTGTCCCCAAGATACCCATCGTGGCAAAGGTAAGGGGGGGGGCCTCTTGGGCCCTGAGGTCACCAAGTCCAGCCCTGTGCCCTGAGAGATGAGGTGGGGGGTGGGGGGTTCAGGATGTTCCCAGCTCTGCCGACAATCACACCAGATGTATATACAAGAAAGTGTGTGTGTACATCTATGTGTGTGGCCGATCCACTCACACTTGCACAGGTGTGTGAGTCTGTGGATGATGTATAGTTGTCCTGAAGCAGCAACATTTAGAAACGGTTAGATGTTTCTGTGTGTATCTCTATGTGTGTCCACGGGTGTGTGCTTGTGTGAGTGTGTATGTGTGTGGTTATGTTTCCAGGATCCGTGAACAATGGAGATGTAGCGGTTCTCTGCTTTCCGTGATAGTCACTCGGGAAGCTTTAAAAAGCCCACCACTGCTGGGCACCAGAGACTCACACCCGTAATCCTAGCTATTTAGCAGGCTGAGATCTGAGGAGCATGGTTCAAAACTAGCCCAGGAAGACCTGTAATCTTCCATTAACCAGCAAAAAGCTGGTGGAGGTGGGGGGCTGGGAAGGTGGCTCAGTGGTAGAGCGCTTGCCTTGCATGCATGAGGCCCTGGGTTCAATTCCTCAGCACCCACATAAGCAAAAAGAAAAAAGCCGGAAGTGGCGCTGTGGCTCAAGTGGTAGGGCGCTAGCCTTGAGCTGAAGAGCTGAGGGACAGCGCCCAGGCCCAGAGTTCAGGCTCCATGACCAGACCCCCCCCCAAAAAAAAAGCTGGAAGTGGGGGCAGGGCTCAAGTATAGAACACCAGCTTTGAAAAAAGTCTAAGTGACAGCACTCAGGCCTTGAACTCAAGCCTTTGAATGGATACACACACTTTTATGTATGTCTCCCCTCCAAAAAAAAAGCCCTCACTGCTCAGACCAGACATCAGAATGTCTCAGAAGCATAGACCTGGCTATCAATCCTTATATATACAAAAAATTAAAAAAAAAACAACAACCCTGTGTGATGACAATGCACAGTTAACTCTGGGACCTTGAACTCGGAGTGGAGATTGGAGAAATTCTCCCCTGGCAGGGCCAGGACGTGTTGTATAAAATATAAGCTCCGTGAGACACGGCCTTTGTTTGGTTCAGCATTGATCCCAAAGGCAGAGCCGACTGCCTGGCATGGGTGGCCACTCAGTCATGGATCACTGTGACTGGATAAATGGCGGTGTCCTTGCTACCCGTCCTCAGACACATGCTTCCGCCCACCCAGGGAGAGGGGGGGGGAACCTATTGTATTCTTTCTCCTCTGAGTGCCCCTCTCCTTGCTCCCGACAGGAGTTCCTTTGCAAGCCCCCCCTCTTCCCCTGCACCCTCTACGGACCCACATGCGATGCCTTTGACAGGCTCTTCCTGGACGATGTGCAGCTTCCTGAGCTGGACGTAGGCGACTGGCTCATTTTCCCCTCCATGGGCGCCTACACCAGCTCCATGAGCTCCACCTTCAATGGCTTCCAACCTGCTGCCACCTGCTATGCCATGAGCCCCCAGCTCAGGTGCGGGGCGGGGGTGGGGGAGCAGCAGGGGGCAGGCAGTAGGGGTATCTTATAGGAGCTTGGAGGTCCCAGGCCTGGGAGATGCCCTGAGTCCCCACTGGCCCTGGTGAGGCCCAGTGTAGCTGGCTGCATTTGACACTGGCCTCTGCCTATGTGTTTGACCCAGCTAGGCCTCTGTTACCTTGGGACTACATGAGGCAGCCTCAGAGCTCACTGCAGGTCCTCAATGCGACCCTCCCAAGTCCTACCTACTCTGACCTCTGGCACTGGCTCCTGGGTTCTCCGGGTTCTCTGATGAGCCCCCGCACCAGTCCCAGGCTTCCCCACGGTCCCAGGGATTCTCTCTGCCTGAGGAGGGGGAGGGGATCTATAACACACCCCAATGGCACCACCTTTTTTCACAGGAGCTTACTGGAGACAGCATCTTCGGCAGGACCAGGTCAGAACAGAGCCGGTCCAGCTGCTGGTGTGCCCGCCCGTGTCGGGGGAGGCTTGGGGCAGGAGGGTTCTTGGAGGGAGCAGGCTGCTTCTGCACTGTCGGGGCCACATTTGAGATACGGAGATGTTGTCACCCTATGTGCCTCTGAAACACCAGCCAGCCCCCTCACCAGCTAGACTGTGGGTCCCTGGGGAACCGAGAACTTTTGCCAGCTCACCAGCGTCCCCTGCTGGCCATGGAATTTTTTACACTTCAAAGACAGTATTTGGAGGAATTGTAGGCTCAAAAAGAGAATTGTGTCCTACAGGGACGGAAGTTGGCAGAGGGGCATCCTGCAGGCAGGGGAGGGGACCCCACAGGCCAAGCCACTGCCCCAGGGGCGTCTTCCAAGCTTGGCTGATGAGGCCTTCGCCCTCCCACAGCCCTCAAGTCCTCCCACTTCCTTGGTCAGCATCATGGTTGCCACCCAGGCAAGGCCGAGGAACCTTCCAGCATCCTTAGACTGGAAAGCATTGTACCCCAGGAATAAGAGGAGGAATGGCTGCAGACACTTTGCACGGGAGGCAGAAGATCTGGACACCTTTCAGGACAGCATGATGCTCACTGGGCAACGCCCTCCCCAGCCTGAGAATCGGGAGTGGAAACACTGACCCCACACTCACTGTTTGTAAATGCGAACAGGAGTGGGCTTTAGAGAAAACAAAGTCATGCGTGAGCGCAGGAGATGAACGCTGGCGAGTTTTGTTAGTCCTGTGCGACTTGTGCGAATCTACCATCCACCCACCCATCCACCCATCTGCCTGTCTGTCTACCCATCTACCCATCCACCCATCCATCCTTCAACCATCCCTCAGCGATCCATCCATTGTCCACCTGTCCATCTGTCTTCCATCCATCCATTCACTCAGTAGCAATGTGAGGGCCTCATCTTTCTGATACTGTCTTGGCACAGGTGACACATGGACAAGCCAGACAGAACCCACATTGTAGAGCTCATCTTCCAGGTGACCAAAGACAGACTAAACAAAACATAAATAAATGAACAAATGTAGTGGAAAGCAAGGCTGAGAGGAAACTGAAACACAGCCAGGGGAAGTGAGCAGCAGAGGGCTGTGAGGGGCTCAGGGGGCCAGAGGCCTCTCTGAGGGAGTTGAGACAGCAACCAAGACCTGGGGAAAGCAAGCAAAGAAGTCATGTGAGTAGCAGCTTGGAAATCCAGCAGGAGGAACAGCGAGGCCGCAGGCCAGGTGGAGAGTGTTGAAGAAAAGCAAGAAGGGGCTGGGGTGTGGCTCAGCCATAAAGTACTGGTCTAGCATTTGAGAATGCCTGTATTTGATCTCTAGGATTGAGAAAGAAAGAGAGTGAGAGAATAAGGAAGAGTGAAGGAGAAAGAAAACAAAGGAAAGAAGGAAGGAAGGAGGGAAGGAAGGAGGGAAGGAAGGAAAGGAGAGATGGAGGGAGGAAGGGAAGGAGGAAAGGGAGGGAGGAAGGCAAGCCCCTGCAGCCCTCAAAGCTTGTTCTGCCCACTTCTGGTCCAATGGTAGTTTTTACTCACTGGAGACTTCACAATGATCCCACTTACCATGAGTTGTCTTTTTTTTGTTGTTGTTGTTGCCGGTTGTGGGGCCTGAATTCTGGGCCTGGGCGCTGTCCCTTAGCTCTTCAGCTCAAGGCTAGCACTCTACCACTTGAGTTACAGCACCACTTCTGGCTTTTTCTGCTTGTGTGGTAATGAGGAATCAAACCCAGAGCCTCATGCATGCAAGGCAAGCACTCTACCACTGAGCCACCTTCTCAGCCCCGAGTTGTCTAATTATTACATGTCAGATGGCTGACTGCCCTCCATCCAGGGCCAGGGTACATGTGCATCCCCAGGGGTGGGGGATGGGGGGCGGCGTGGAAGGAGGGGGGAGCAGGGTTCACCATTTAACCACTGTGACTTACTGCCACCTATTGGCAACCTTGCCACCTTGCACCTTTGTGATTGGATCCAGGAAAGATGATTGAAAGGAAGCTAGGAAATAGAAGGAAATAAACAAATCAGAGAACAATAGGTTGTGCTGGGAGCTACAACAGAATTCAGTGTCAGAAGGAGATGACACTGAGAGATCAGACAGGATAGGAGGCTGGAGAGATGACCCCAGAAGGAGCCACAGAGCTGTAAGGTCTGGGTGGGTTCAGGCACAGGGTGGCCAGTGAGGTTGAGCCCATGCCTCAGCCCACAGCTGAGGCAGCTCAGGTGCTGATCAGTCTCCACCTAGCTGACCACCCTCCTCGACCCTCTATCTTCTCTTGTCTTATGAAACTTCAACCTTGGCTGATGATAAAAAGTTATTACTAGCCAGGCACCAGGGTGGCTCATGCCTGTAATCCTAGCTACTTAAGAGGCTGAGATCTGAGGATGGGCAGTTGGAAGCCAGCCCAGGAAAGAAAGTCCTTGAGACTCTTATCTCCAATTAACCACAAAAAGCCAGAAGTAGAGCTGTGGCTCAAGTTGTAGAGCACTAGCCTTGAGCACAAGAAGCTCAAGAACAGCTACCAGGCCCTGAGTTCAAGCCCTAAGACTGTCATAGACTTATATATACACCACCACCACCAACAACAACAACAACAACAAAGAGATTACTATTCTTCTATGGAAATTAAAGCTTAACCGCTAACAGATGTGACTGGTTTGAAGGCAGCATGGAGATCATTTCCATAATGATAGCAGGAACTCCTGCCACGGAGTAAACAATCAAAGACCTGATCAGGATAGGATAAGGCTGGGCATGGGAGCTCATAGGGGAGAATGGGACACAGTGGAATCAGTCTTGCTTTGTAGCTGATGTCATGTTAATTGTGTGTTTGTGGTTTTGTCTGCTGCTGACAGTGAACTCTTCTCTCTGTGCACACACACGTGCACATGGGCTTACACTCATTGCCTAGGCACTGTCCCTTTAGTACTTTTGTTCAAGGTGAGCTGTCTGCCACTTGAGCCACAGCTCAATTTTTGCTTGTTAATTGGAGATAAATGTCTCATGCACTTTTGCACCCTGGCCGCCTTCAAACTTTGATCCTCAGATCTCAGCCTCCAGACTTGCCAGGGTTACAAGCATGGGCCACTGGAACCTAGTACTGTTTTATTTACTTTTTGAGGCAGTGTAGCTCAGGCTGGCCTCAAACTTGAGATCCTTCTATGTAGGTCTCCTGATCACCACCAGCTGGTGCACCATGGTTTTAGTTGGAAGTTAATTTGATGTTCCCTAACATCTAATGTGTCAAATACCTTATCATGTGCTAGGTTGGCCCTGCAGAAATCTTTTGTGAAATGCCTGTCCAACTTTTGTTTCCATGACCTAACACCATACAACAACCAGTGCAGAATCAATGGCTTAAAACAAAAGCACCTCTTGGCTCCCGAGCCAGGGTGATCTGGGCTGGGCATGTCTAGACCTTGCTTTTGCAACCAGGGGTTGCTGAAAACCACTTAATACTGCACCTCCCGCTGCAGTCCAGTCTGGGATGGCCAACACAGCTGGCCACACTAAGCAGATCACTTTACCTGGGGGCTGGGCTCACCAAAGCCAAGAAGTTTATCTTCTTGTTTCAAGCCAGCTAATACTTCACTGGCTGAGATAAATCTGCTGCACCAGAATCCAGAGGAGCAGTTCACTGGGCATGTCCACCTAAATAACAATGGGTGTGTGTGTGGGGTCTCTGAAGATCAATGAAGTTTAATTGGGATGGAAACAACACTGCAAATGGAATGTCCTTGCAACAACAATGAGGCTCAGAGGTGAGGGGAGGGTTTGAAAGGTAAAATGAGCTGGGTCACTTGAGAGATTTTGAAACCATAACCCTTGCTTACAAGGATTAATAACAAAGGTGGCTTGGTCAAATGGTGATGAATCTCAAAGACTTTCTTTCCTGAGCTGGCTTTGAACTTAGATCCTCAGATTTCAGCCTCTTGAGGAGCTAAGACCACAGGTGTGAGCCTCCAGCGCCCAGCCTATTTTAATTTTTAACAAAATCTTTACTCGCTCTATTAGCGGTTCTGGGATTCCGGCTCAGTGCCCACTGCTTGCTACCTAGGTGCTCTTGCTGCTGAACCACGCCACCACCCTTGCATTTTAGTTTGAGGTAGGGTCTCAGGAACTGTTTTGCCCAGCTTGGCTTTCAGTCAGTTTATTCTGGCCCAAGGAATTTTTTTATTAGCCTTCTAATTAGGGACATTTGGTGGCTTCTGGCATTTCTTTGAAAGCCAGGGGCAGGCCTTTGAATAGATTTTGTTTTGCCGGTGGCCCTGGTAACCATGGAGAGTACATCTACCAGTTGCCTTGGCAACCAGGGACCCTGTGACTGCCTCAGTTTCTTTCAAGGAATTTATTGACTTTATCTAAATTAAATCTCTAGTGTAAAGTAATTTATAGCATTCCCTTATTCTTAAAAAAAAAAAACATTAAAGGGTAGACCCAGGAACAATGCTCTTTCTGGCATCCTGATGTTGGTAGCATTTGGGTTTTGGTTGCTGTAGTGGTGGTGGTAGTTATCTTTTTATTTATTCTTGCTAGGGGTTTACCCATTTTGGTAATTTCTTCAAAGACCCAACTTTAAACTTTTATTATCCTCTATTGTGTGTTTTCTATTTTTACTTGTTCCCATTTTTCACTTAAACTGGCCTTAATTTGCGCTCTTTTTTTTTGTGTCTTCCCCCCCCGCCTTCTTTAAGCTATTCCTCTTTTTGTTGTTGCATTTTAATCTTTCTTGTTTTCTACTATCCCTGAAATCTAAACAGTTACAGTCATAAATTTTCATACATTTTTGTCTTAATTATAATTCAATATTTTAAAATTCTTTTTCTTCTGACTTCTTTGACTTATGGATTATTTGGCAATATATTGTTTAATTTCCAAACCTTGAATGATCTGTATTTCTGTTATTGTTTTCCAGTTTAATTGAATTATGATCCATAACATAGTCTAAATTCTTTAAAATTTATTGGGATTTGTTTTATAACCCCAGAATAGGGTCATATATATATATATATATATATATATATTTTTTTTTTTCATTTGTGAGGCTGGAACTCTGGGCCTGGGCGCTGTCCCTCAGCTCTTCAGCTCAAGGCTAGTGCTCTACCACTTGAGCCACAGCGCCACTTCCAAGGGTCAATTTTGGTTAAGCCATACTTATGAACTTGAAAGTCTGTATAGTCAGTATACACACACACACACACACACACACACACATTTTCTTTTTTGTGTGTGGTGGTTCTGAGACTTAAACTCAGGTCTTTGAGCTCTAGCTGAGATTTTCTATTCAGTTGGTATGCTACCATTTGAACCATACCTCCATTTCTGGCTTTTTGCTAACTGGAGGTAAGAATCTTGTGGAATTGTCTACCTGGGTTGGCTTCAAACTATAATCCTAGAGATCTCAGCCTCCTGAGTAGCTATGATTATAGGTATGACTTACCAGCAGCCACCTTAAATAATTTTTATATACCTTATTTTCTCATGCACATTCTAGATTGTTCTGATTTGTTAC